AAAGAAGAAAGAAATAATAAAAAGAAAAAACAAAAAAAAAATAAGAAATACATGAAATTATAATAAAATAATAAAATAATAAAATAATAAAATAAGAAATGAATAACAAAAAAAGAATAATTAATTTTTAAATAAAGAATTAAAGAAAATAATATAAAAAAAAGAAATTGGTTAAATTGTGTTAATATTTTGTTGTTTGTTTACTTAATCCATTTCTTGATTTTCTCAATGTTTTTAACAAATTCTTCAAATTCATAATCTTTTAATGAAATTCCTTTCTGTCCTGGTTTTAATTCTCCATCTCGTTCATAAAATTCTCTTATATCAATATATTTTGTTCCTTTAAATTGATTAAGTCTAACATATCTTTTTTCTCCTATTTGTACATATTTATCATCTTCAAATGGAACTTTTATTTCTTTTTCCTTTTTGACTTTTTTCTTGCTTTCCTTTTCTTCTTCTATTTCTTCACTACTTTCTTGTTCTTTTTTCCCTTTTGTTTTATTCTCTTTTTTGTCTTTACGTTTAATTTCTTCTTCAGATTCTTCTGTTTCTTCTTTTTTGGCTTTTTTCTTGCTTTCTTTTTCAACTTCTTTATCTTGTGAATTATGTTTAGGTTTTTTGTCTGACATTCTTCAATTTCTGTGTTTTTTTGAGTTTTTTTTTCTTTTTCTTTTTTTATTTTTATTAATTTTATTTTTTATTTTTATTAATTTTATGTGTTTCTTTATTATTTATCATTAACACAAGAACAACTCTCATCCTTCTTCTTTTTCTTATTACTCCATTCAATAATCTAACTCTTTGTTATTGTTTGATTTTCATTTAACAACACCAAATAACATGTGATTAATTTGAAATGAAAAGATGAAATAATGATAAATAAATAAACAAATAAAAATAAGAATGAATAACAAAAAGAATAAAAGAATGATGAAAGATAGAAATAAGAAAATAAGAGTCTTTTCATTTTTAAATTGATTGAAGATTTTATTCAAAGATTATAAAATAAAACAAGAATATTAAAATTAAAATCTTTGTGTTTCCATCTAAAAATATGATTTATTATTGTGTTATATCTTTATGATTGTTAAAACATTAATACTCTATTTTGTATAACAACAAATTGTATTGTTTTAATAATCATAAAATATTGATTTAATTCATTCTTTATTGACAATTTCTTCTTTTATCATAATTTTGAATTATTGTAAAATATTCTTACCACAAATTCAAGTGTTATTTGTCTTTTTTTCTTTTTAATTATTTATTGTTTAAAACTAAATGTTAATTATCCAACTATATCTTCTAAAAGAAGAATTGAATAAGAATTCTATCATTCTCTTGTTTCTTTGATTTCTTTCTATATTTATTGAAGATATTCTTAATCAACTTTCATCTACTTCCTAAAACAAAATAATATCTGTTTCTTTAAACTCAATAAAGTCAATATAAAGAAAGAATTTAGTTATTCATGTTTTAACTCTCCTTCTTTTAACCATGACATTATCTCATTAATTAAACTAATGAATATCAAATGAAGAAATACTTAATGTTTATTTTTATCAATGAAGTTAATGAAAGACACTTTTTCTTTATTCATTTTTTTCTCAAAAAATTTTTTAATTTCTTTTTTAATTTCTTTTTTTAAAATTTTCAACCAAAAACTTGTTTTCTCTTTCATTTTCTCTTCTTCTCTTTACCGATAGAATATCTCTATATGTCTCTTCATTTCTTCAAAGTATTTCTCATACTTTTTTAAATCCATTTCAACTCTTATCTCTCCTATTCTCTCTTCTTTTCCATCATGATATATTTCAATTTCTACTATTCCATTCTCATCAACTTTACATTTAACTGTCATTTCATATCTATTTGATATCTCTCCTGGTATTCCTTTAATCGTTACGCATCATAAATTTAGTACTAATAATTTAGAGTTCAATACATTGTTTATTTATTGTGAATGTTTTCTGTCATAAACGTTGCATGAAACTCATAACGTTATAGTTTTAGTTGTTTTTTTTTGTAAATCTTTTGTGATTGTGTTATGCTCAGAATAAATGAAGGGATGAAGTCAACACTACTCATTCATATGAAATTTCCTATAAAAATTAATATGGAAATTTTTATTTCATGAATTTAGATTGGTTAACACATGAAATCTATTGTCTATGATGTTACTTACTATGGACATGATAGAACTAAGAAAGAAAAGGTGTTGTGAAGTGTTTTGTGGTTTACCTTCTTAAAAATATAGCTAGTTGTTTTAAATTAAACAACCTATTATAATTACTATTTATAAATAAAAGGATGAAATAATTTTAACGATTATAATGATTTTGAATATGAATAACGATGTTTAAAGTATATTTAACTGGATAGTTCATGTGTTATAACGATTTTTTATTATTTTTTAGAATTATTTTCATTGTAAAAAATTAAAATAAAATATTAGATGTTCTTATTTCATTTGAACCATGAAGACGTCGTAGGAATTTACTTTAAGTTTTTAATTCTCATTTGTATATTATATTACTTTTTTCAAATAAATAATATAGCACTAAAAATACAAATGAATATATAAAAGTGTTGTACTTTGAAAGGAGTTTTGTTCCATTAAAGCTAATTTGTAGTAATCCATAATGACTTGGATATAACAAAAAAAATAGCTAGTTCCTTGTGATTAAAAAAATAAAAAATATTAAAAATATTCATTCATTTTTACAAATAATGAATAAGTTTATTAGATTAATAAGGTTTATGATTCATTTAATAAAGCTCTGTCCCCAAAAACATTGATATGGCTAAATAACTAAAATAAAGTGTAGTATTTGAAAATAAACAAAACAGACCTTATTGTCAAATTTACCAACCAAAAAGCTTTTGACCAACAACTGGTATAATGTCTTGTTAGAGTATTGTTTTATTTCCTTGAGACTCTGGAAATTTGTTTACGTATAATACAAATACTCTATTTACTCATTTAAGGATTTTCACTTCTGTTACAAAGGAAAAAAAAGTGATACATAATAAGTGTTATGATTAAGGAGACAAGAGAATGTAATACATTCAAAAAAGAAAGTAAAAGAAAAAGAAAAATGACTTTTAAGAAGTTAATTTATAATTAAGAATAATTATCATGACTAATATTTGTATTAAAAAATAATACTAAAAAACAATTCAAACTAAGAAAATATTTAAGAATAATAGTTAAAAAATAAAACAAATAAACAAAGTCCAATAATAATATAAAAGTAAATAACACAAAACAATAGAAACTATTTCATTGAAACTTACAATTGATTGGATTTTGATGTTTTTTACTTGTCTTTTGAGTTTTACAATCAAGAGATTTCATCACTGCAATATCTCGAGGTAATATTTGTTGAACAAAACTCAAATCTACATTCTTTTCAAAGTGTTTACAATGAGAGGCAATAATTGAGTCCATAGTTCTTGGACTCATAAAGACATTTAACCAATAGAAACCTACGTGGTAATGTTCATTTGGAGTAAATACTTTTGCCATCTCTAAAAAGTAATTTTCTTTTTTATCTTCACCACAATTTATTCTAACAAGGAATGAACGATAATGGAAAGGAGAAGGAGTTGCTTGAACTTGTCTTTCAACAACATCAGTAGGATTAGTTCTTTGTAAGGGAAGAGTTGTATAAATAACTTGTTGAGAATCAACAAAAGAGTTTTGACCTTCTGGACCTATAATTAGTTGGCGTTTAAGTAGAGCATTTAAAATTATTTTGGCGTGCATCCTATTAACTACGTTTGTTTTATTACACATCCAAGTGGCAGAGTCGTACCGCTAACTTTTCCATGAATATCTTTAATCATTGTTTGAAGTACTTTATCAATATTAAAGTAATCAATTTCATTTTTTTTAACATCAACTTTATTAAATATAATTGGAAACCATTCAACCATATTATCACTCTGAGAAATGATAAATTCGTAATATTTAAAAAATGCAAATAATTGTTCTTCTTCACTTTCTTTTGAAGAGACATGAAATATTTGAGAATGAAATTTATCAAGATTAACATCATCAACAGTAAAACTATCAAAATTGTCATATACTTTCCAATTCATTCCTCTCAGTGGTTGTAAGTTAATAGTTCTAGTTGTTTTATTATATTTTGTAATATCAAATTCAGGAGATATTGGTGGTGTAGTAATTGCAATAAAAGAGTAGCGATAAGGAAGTAATGAAATTGATGAATAAACCTTTTGTTGAATTTTAACTTCAACACCATTTTCTTTTAATTGAAGTAAATGGATAGCATCAGGAGAATAAAGTGTAGTACTATTTTCTGAAGTAGTATTGGGACTAAATTGAAATCCTAATGAAACTCTATTTCCGATCATAATATTAAATAATTGTTTAGGAATAACATTATTCGATGGTAAAATAACATAATTTATTTCTTCTATTTTTTTAAATAACTTTGTTGGAGTTTCAGAAATATACTTTGAAGGACATTGCAATTTAATAAGATTATCCCATGGATCATTTCGAGGTTGGTGTAATGACTCTGAGATACAATAAGCTAAACTATGTTCTTTTGGAATAGTATTAATGTGTAAAGGTGAAACTCCATTTAATGGAAGAAGACTTTGTTTTATTTGACAAATATCAGTAGAAGTTTCTTGATCAATTGGAACGAGATAATCCTGTTTAACAATACACTTTCTTTTAATTAATGGAACAAAAAAATATTCTGCATTTTTATCAAAGTTTTTAGTAAGACAATTATGACAATTATGAGACCTACATAATTTAAATACATCAAACGTAAAGCTTTGATAATAACGTATTTTAATCCAACACGGAATATAATAATTTCTTTCTTCTGCTTCTACATCATTTAAAAGTATAAGTGGAGTTGTATAAAGTGGTTTTGTTGCTAAAGAAACCATTTGAATATTTGCATAATTTTTTAATACAATTCTTTTACACAATGACTTTACTAATGAATTACATTTGATTAGTCCTGGTCCTGGAGTAATGATTAACATAGTTTCACTTCCTCCTCCTCTAAAATGAGATCCAAAATGATGTAATACTGTAATAATTGATTCCAATAAATTAGAATTCTTTGAAGAACATAATACAGCTTCATTTTCAAGACTTGTCATTTTCTTCCATTGACTAAAATATTGTTTTAAACGAGTATTTAATAATGTTAATGGAAATGAATCTGCAAATGAAATTGTATGAATAAAATCAGTGTCTTTAGGTTTACTTAAATTTGAAGGGGAAAGACATCTAAATGTTGGTGTAGCTGATGTAGGGCGAAAATTAGGTTGTACTCTTGAAAATAAAGAGATAACAATTGTATGTTTTGCATGAACTTCTTTGAAATGTTGATACAATTCTGTTAGAAAATCTAAACACTTATCAAAATACATCTCACCATCTGGGTGATGTTCCCACATTTCTGAAGACATGTCTATCATAATAAATATTGTTCCGCTCGTTGTATAGGTCGTCATATCTATTCCTCTTCAGCAACAGTCAACTTTTTTTAAGTTTTTCTTTTTTTTCTTATTTCATTAAAATAGTATAAATAAGTTAATAAATTAATTTTAAAATAGTAATTTAAGAAGAAGAATAAAGTGAAAATGTTCTGAAATGATTACTCTGGTATCATTCATTGAAATGAATGGAAAAGATTGAAAAAATTAAAAAAGAATGAAGGGTCAGACACATACTTAATTAAACTTATGAACAATGAAATATTTCATCAATCAAATGACAATTTAGAAGAGAGTTCTGCTAACGAAAGGGATGGAATAAGTCCACTATTTTCTGATGTATTGACACGAGTTACTCTAAATTTTCCATTACCTGTAGAGTAGGAATTAAGGTTATAATAATCAGCAATAGCATGACATAAAAGACGTTCATAACTGTTTTCCAATTTAAATTCTAAAATATCAGAATCTTTATTCTTAATATAATTAAGTATAAGTTTGTCTATTGTTTGAACAAAAGAATTTTGAGATAAGACCACCTGTTGAACCTTTGTTGGTATTCTTCTAATAGCTAGAATAACCTCTTTTGGTAATTTAGGTGGAAGGGCTTTATAAACATTATTATTGATTGAATATAACTTAAGTTCACATTGTTCTGGTTCATCATTAGGAATACTTTCTTCTATTCTAATTAATTCCAATGATGGATCAATACCATTTTCAAGGCATTGATTTAAAAAATTACCAAATGGGGAATAAACAGGCATGTCTTGTTGAAAGGCAATGACTGATATCTCTTTACAATGAAGATAAGAATCAATCATTCCATTTTCATCCATAATATTTTTGAAGAGTTCTTGTTTTACAGAGCCTGTCATATATTACTTTGTTTCTTTTTCAGTTTTCCTTTTATTTTATGTTTGTTTTAATTATAGAGCAAAAATACCATCATCAAGACTCAATAGTTTCAAAAATATAAAAACGTTATATTTAACAAAATTAATAAATAATAATAAATCATTTAATAAAAAATCTTAAAAATCTTATAAAAAAGAAATGGCAAATGAAGCACGTACTCTCGTTACTCCTGAAGGAAACGTTGTAGATATTCAAGGAGCTAGTCAAGAAAATGGAGCTAATGCAATTATTTACCCAAGACATGGAGGAGAAAATCAATTATTCTTTATTGATAAACAAATTGGATGGATTATTTCTGTGTTTTCCAGAAAGGCATTAACTGTTAAAGAAAATATGCACGACATTATTCAATCGGACTATTGTAGTCTTTCTCGTCAACAATGGATATTTGAAGATAATCCTGATGGAACAACAATTATTCGTTGTTACGAAAATCCAGAATTAGTTCTTTCTGTTACAAACAATATAGACAAAGTTTGTTTAAGTCCATTTACAAGAGAAGCTCATCAATTGTGGAGAATTGAATAAAAAAAATAACAATTTTTATTATTTTTTTATATCCTTTTTTTATTGAATTTAAGTTTATTTAATTAAAAGTTAATTAAATAGGAAGTATTAGTTATTGATAACAAAGAAGGTCCATATTCAATCCTTTTAAAATTACAGGCCATTGTTTTATAAAATATTGTCATTAACATTGATGAATAAACTTGAATAAAGTCTTCATTTTTAACACGTAAAATACCTTTCATAAGTGATTTTGTTTCTTCATAATCAATTAATTCTATTGAGCATTTATGTTCATTACCAAATGAGGTAGTGTATGACTCATAAATAATTCCTAATATTCCTAAATGTCCGATTTCTCCTAAACATTGATGTTCACTACTCATGAGTTAAATTTATTAATAAATTAAAAAAAAAATTTATTGAATTATTTCAAACAAATCAAATGAAATATATTGCATGAAATGAAATGAGAAATGAAAATAATAAGTTTCATAAATTTTAAGTTTCATTTTTTACTTAAATGAAGTAATAAAAAAAAGATAAATAACAAATAACACATATGTTAGTTCTTTTATTATAATAATCATTCCTATTTGAATTATTTTGTTTGTTTTTGTTTAATATCCACTGAAAAACTTCTTTGCTTTTTTGGTGCTTCTTCTTCATCATCGATAATAAATTGTGGTAATTTCATTATACCTTTATTTGGACTTAAAGAACTAAATGATCTTCTTATTTCTGTTTGTGTACTAAATGAAGATGAAGTGTCATCAGGTGAATGTTCAGATCCTTGATTAATTGATAATTGAATTTGTAAAGTACTTATCTCATTTAATTTTTTAACAGACCTTTGATCTAACCTAACTGCTTTTCTACTAGAAAATCTTTTTGAAGATAATTCTTTAATAGAAGAATTAATTTCAATAACTGGAACCTTTGGTACTTGTTCTGATTTTTTTTTATGAATTTGTTGAAAAGGTTCTGATGACTGAGATAATGATATGACATTACTAATATAACCAGGACTTTCTGGTAATGATTGACGGTATTTTTCTTTTAGTTTCATCCTTTCACTTTTGTTACATTTTGGTTCTTTCTCTTTGCTTTTTTCTTCTTTATCAAAAGAAAGATTATTTTCAAACGAATCTGTTTCAATTTGAACTACTTCAGTTGGAATTTCTGTAAGGTCATTTTGATCAACACCTTCTTCAAGATATGTTTTAGATTCATTATCTTTCTTTAGATCAGGTATTTCAGTAGATTTTGAGGGTAAAGGAATAATACATTCTGAATGATAAGATGATTGATTCAATCTTTCTTTTTTAATTTCTTCTGCTAATTTTTTACTAATTTCAGGAGAAAATCCAAATGAGTCAATATCTATTTGGTCCATTGATAATATATTTTCCACACTTAAATATCCAAACCCAATGAATTGTTCAGTTAATTGTTCTAATCCAATTCGTTTTAAAAAATTTCTAACTGTTTCAATAGGGTCAACAAATAATTCAGCAGGCTTTCTTTTTTGTAATTCATTTCCATTAAACACATCTTTATATTCAGGAAATAAAGTGATAATAAATTTATTTAATCGATAACACATATCATCTAATTTTTCATCTTCAAAGTCCAAAGTTTCTGATTTTAAAAAATGAATTCCTCTAGTAAATTGGAAAGAAGAAGTTAGTTTTAATAGGTCTTCTCTATTATTACAAGCAGTTGAAGAAATAAAAATAATTGGAGTAGTAATTTTTTTAACTTGTTGAAGAGTAACACAAGAAAAGCATAATGAATTTTTTTCTACTTGAGCGTTCTATTTATGTGATTGTTAATTATTATTTTATTTAATCCAATTAAAAAAGATTTTATTTTATAACAAACAATTAATATAATACCTGCCAATTTTACTATTCCTCTCTCATTTTCAGGTTTTATTGATTTTTGAATTTTATGTGCAAGATATAGAGTTGGACCACATCCTGCTCCTTTTCCATAAAGAATAATACGACTTGGGGATTGATGTAATTGTTTAGTAATAAATTTCCAAACATATTCAATATGGTTTGCTGTTTTTTCATCTGAATAATGAGAACCTTTAGTATATCCTGGATATTCCCATGCAATAATATTTGCTTTAAATATTTCTGCCAATACTGATAACCAATCTTTAATACTTGCAAGTGTTTCATTTGCATCATGATTATATAAAATTGTAATTGGTTGTAATCTAATTATTAATGCATTTTTTATTTCATTATTTTAAATTGAAAATAAACCAAACATTGTTGTTTTAGTTTGGACATATAATATTGGTATATTCTTTTGATTTAATTTTTGAAGTTGTGGCATTTTTGTTTCTTTTGTTAAAAGAGTACTACTGCGTTTTTGTTTGGCTCCTTCTTTAAGTGAAATACAATTGGTTGGTGTTTGTTGCATCAAATAATATAAAACTGGAATTCAAAACTTTTTTATTTAAAAAAAACTAAAAATTGTCTTTTTAAATAATTTTATAAATAGTTTTGTATTTTTTTTTAATTTATTTTTTAATTTTATTTAACAATAGATTCGAAGGTAGCACTTCAGATATACCACACACTTCCATAAAATATTTCCATTATTCAAATCCCCAGTATTGACTGGTTATGACTTTGCATTTGGTTAGAAAAACACCTTACCCAGTATTGCAAGAATAACAGTGATTATTAATTACAATGATGGGATTCATTGACAATAAAAGAATGGGTATTTATAATGGTGTTATTATTACTTGTTAGAATACAAGTATATTTGATAATATAGGATTGTCAAAGAAAAAGGTCTAGTGGTGAGGCTAAAAAGATATTAGCCTACAACAATACAGTAATAATTATATATTCTCCTTAAAATAAGAAAATAAAGAATAATTTTAATACTCATTAAAATCAAATAGAAATTAAATAATGAATATTTAAATAAGGGATGTTTAAAATGCTCTATTCCACATCAAATAAATGATAAAATGAAATTGTCATATTTCAACAACTAAAATCAAAGAATAAGCCAATAGTTGATGAACAAATACTTTTAAAACAAATAGATTATTTAATCTCCACTGAACAATAAACAATAGAAAATATTTCTTATTAATACTTAATTAACTACTTTTTATTTTATTTAACAAGTCAATTCTTCTTTTTAGTTTTTTAAACTCATCTTAGAATATTTCTTTGTATGATTCTTCTTTCTCTTGTTTAAAAATTTCAAAATCTCTATAAATTCTATAGAAATTATTGAGTTTACTGAAAAAAAGTATTTATAAACGAATTAAAAGAACGTTTATTTTTTAAAAAAATTATGTTATTTGATTGTTTATATAAAATGGAATTGTTTATCTCATAATCTACTCAAAATACTATTTTCTTTTCAAATATTATTAAACATTAACCATTTTAACCACTTTACTTTCTTTTTTAGTTCAAGACTTGTATACTTGCGTTAAATAAGGTTGTTACACACAACTAATACAATAAAACTTAATCTAAAATAGTTAATAAAAAAAACAATGATTTGTGATAATAGATATTCATAGAATAAACTTTTTTGATTTCTATAACTTCTCTAATTATTTTTATTAAATAAAAAATTCTTATATACTTATTTAATAAAATAATTTAATAGTTTTTAAATTATTTAAAATAATTATCAGTTTATTTGTAAAGCAAAAAAATTTATGTTTCTTTATTGGAGAATATAAATCAGATAAATAATACTTTAATTTGATGACTTTTATCAATGCCTTACAAAATAACCACCCCAAAAAACAAAAGGAGTTATTTCTAGTGAAGAAATAATAAAGATTGAATGACCAAACAAAGAAATAAAAAATTGAAATAAAACTAATTTTTTTTAATTTTTATACAGTAATAAAATAGAATTTTTATTAATATTTTATAAATTCTCATTGTTTTTGGTTAGACTAAAAATAAAAGAAACTAATTGATCTTAGAAATTTGAAAATGACGAAAAACATATTAGAATGTTCAGACAGAGTTGTAAAAACAGTTGAACCAATGACTGTTTGTTATTTTATAAAGCAAAGGCATTACACAAAAAACAAAAACTCAGAAGAATAGGACCAATTATTGTTATATGATCAATTTGTTGATAGTAGTGGAAATATTGATATTAAGGTTCTTACAGGACATTTAAAGAAAGAAGGAAGATTACATCCAAATGCACTAATAACAATTCTGAAACGAATACAAAATGTACTAAGAAAAGAAATGAATGTTATTAGAGTCAATGGACCAACAGCAATATTTGGAGATATTCATGGACAATTTTATGATTTATGTAATATTTTTCAAGACTTTGAAAGTTCTGATGAAAGTCTATTGTTTTTAGGTGATTATGTTGATAGAGGATGTTTTGGTACTGAAGTGTGTATTTTTTTATTTTGTTTAAAACTTCAATACCCCAATCGAGTTCATTTGTTAAGAGGAAATCACGAATGTAGATTAATGACAACATATTTTAATTTTAGACAAGAATGTTTATGGAAATATACTTCTCAAATCTATGATGAGTTTATGAATACATTTGATTGTCTTCCATTATGTGGAATAGTTAATTCAAATTTAGGATCTTTCTTTTGTGTTCATGGAGGTATTTCTCCTTCACTTCAAAAAATAAGTGATATTAATTATATTGATAGATTTCAAGAACCACCTGAAGATGGATTATTTTGTGACTTGTTATGGTCTGACCCTATGGACGATTCAATGTATGAAGTTCTTTCACAAGAAGACCAACTTAATTTTCAAAAAGAAATGTATGAATTTAATTCAGTAAGGGGGTGTAGTTACTGTTATGGATTTGCTGCAGTAAGAAGATTTCTTATTAAAAATGACCTTGTTTGTATTGTGAGAGGACATGAAGTTCAAAGAAATGGATGTAAAATGAATTTTGAAGGATGTTCAACTTCACCAATTGCAATTACTATATTTTCAGCACCAAATTATTGTGATTGTTATGACAAT